ATAGACACCAATTAGTCCTTGTTCCCAAAACTAGGTGGCAAAAATCTTATCCCATTCTGTAAGCTCTCTCTTCACTCTGTTGGTTATTTCCCTAGCTGTGCAATGTTTTTTAACTTGATTTGATTCCATTTGTTGATCCTTAATGTTATTTCTTTTGCAACTGAGGTACTGTTCGGAAAGGCCTTGCCTATGTCAAGAGTTATCTATTGTATCTTCCAAAAGACTAAGTGTTTCTGTTTTAACATTTGTATTTGTCACCATTTTATTTTAGTTTAGTGCATGGTGATATATGTCAGTTTAGATTGAATTTTCTGCCTGTGGGTAGCCAGTTATCCCAGCACCATCTAAAAAGAGGCTATTTTCCTATACTGTATGTTTTTGGCTCCTTTGTTAAATATCAGAAACTTTGAGGTGCATGGGGTTGCTTCTCTATCACTATTCTGCCTTATTCATTAATATGTATGTTTTTGTACCACTACTAGGCTGTTTTTACCACTGTACTTGAAATCTGGGATTCTGATGCCTCCTGCTTTGCTCTTGTTACCCAAGACTGCTTTTGTTATTCTGGGTTTCTTCTGGTTCCATATGAATTTTAGGGTTGTTTTTTCTAGTTCTGAAAGGATACTACTGTATTTTTATTAGGATTGCATTAAATCTATATATTAGTTTGGAAGATGGCCATTTTGGCTATACTGGTTCTGCCTATCCAGGAACAGGGGTTATCGTTGGATTTTCTGATGTCCTCCTCAATCTTATTTTTCAAAGAACTATAGTTTTCATCATAGAGGCCTTTTATGTCCTTGGTTAGCTTAATACCCAAGCACTGATGTTTTCTTGATGCTACTGTGAAGAGTACTGTACTCCTAATTTCTTTTTCTTTTCTTTACAAAAGGAACATCTTTATTATGCTGATTTCAGCATCATAATCACGGTACAATCTGCACTTAATTTGTGAAATAGTAAGATTAATAATTGAGACATATGAAAATTCAGTCTATTATTTTTGAAGACTTCTGCAACAGTACTTTCCAGGTATATTGCAAGATAGTCATCATCCCATGATCCTACCTCTCTCATCTTTATCTCTGTATTACTCTGCGAATACCTCTCTTTATGACTCTCTGTCAGCACACTGTTCTTCCACATGCCCATTGTTCTTCCACATTGTCTTATGAAATGGATTTAGAATGACTTAAGTACCTAAACAAACAACATATGAATGGCAAATACAACAACTTTTCTGTTTGTGCCCTCCTACTTATCTTTTTAAACTTTCCTTGTTCCATGTATATGGAGGGGGAGATGGTGTACTCTGTCAGGCAGACACACAGAAACTGCTAGACCTACAGGAAATGATTGTTTTTTAGCTTGCTAATGTAGGAAACAGTAGTAAACTTACTGATTTGAAAGTATGGTAAAAATTCTGTATCATCAGGACCTGTATTCCTCAACTAACGAAGTTTGATGGAATTAGAATAATAGTAAAATCTCAAAATATTTTCAGCTTAGCATTATTGTCTTTTCCAAAAATGTCAAACAATTGGGGACTTCATCAGCACTATAATAATACAGTTAATCATACATAATCTTAGGGAAAAACTGAGCTTGTTTTTGACAGCCAAGTAGATGAAAAGATAGATAATTTGCTATAGTCCTAACTTCTTTTTCAATTTGTTCATTACAGGTGTAGCAAAACACTACTGCTTTTGTGTGTGACAATATATCCTGCTAGACTGCTGAATTTGGTTATTCTAGAAGTCTTTTGGTGGAAATTTTTGGGTCTTCTATGTAGAATATCATGTCATCTGCAAATAATGATAATTTAACTTCTGCCTTTCCTGTACTATCCCTTTTACATCTTTCACTTGCCTGACTGCTCTAGCTGTTTCCAGTACTACACTGAATAGGAGTTGTAATAGTGGACATTCTTGTAAGTGATTTGTTGCTTTTCTCTAACAGTTTGTAAGATTCTGTCCTTGTGTTAGATTATTGGGATTCCAATTATGATGTGTTGTGGAGAGGTTTTTTTCTGATCATGGGTATTTGGGGTTCTATATGCCTCACTTAGGTGTATTAAATTCTTTTCCCTTATTTGAAAAGTTTTCTGCTATTATTTCAATAAACAGGTTTGTATGCCATTTTTCATATTCTCTTGTTTTCAAGGTATGTCTGTCCAAAAGTATTCCTGTCTTCCAGTTTTGATACTATCTTCACACTGGTTGCTTCTGCTGTCCGTACTTTCAAGAGAATTTTTAATCTCCTTAATTTCCACTTGGTACCTTTTTAAGGACTATAATTCTTTGCTAAACTGGTCATTCATGTTTTGGTTCATTTTGTTTAGCTCACCTAGCTTTTTTTAAGTGTTACCTTTAAACTCACTGATCATTTTATTTACTAAGTCCATTATCTCTTTAGTCTTATGCTGAGCATCTTATTGGTGTTGTTTTTTTTTTTTAAATCTCCTATTATCCTTTCAAATAATTCAGTTTTGTGGATTCTGATTTACTCCCCCTCCCCTTCACTGGCCCATGTATTAGCTCTGGGGGAGTTGACAGTTTTTAGAAGCATTTCTGTTGCCTTGTCTACTCATGTTTCTAATTGGTGTTTTGTTTTGTTTTGTGCTGAGGTTTGTGGGTTGATTACAGTGGAAGACTTTGTTACTATATACTGTCATCTTTAGTAAGTGTCTGCTTTTCAGTGATGAAAACTTTGGTTATAACCTTTGCTCCTGTCCCAAGATCCAACCACCCCCATTTACCTGGAAAGGGAGGCTGCAGTATCTTTGACCCAGCACCTAGTTCCCCAGGAAAGGGCCACAGTTAAAGACACAAAGGCAATCCAGATATTGGCATATGAAGAAAATCAATCAACAGCAACAACTGTGCCATGTTGGTAATAGCAACAAACAGTAACAGTGATAGTGTCAAAAACACTAAAAAAGAGATCTATAATTATAGTATGAGCTCTAAAACAAACCAAATATTGACATAAATATGTACTAAAGACTGCAACTACACCTCCACTAACAACCCAATAGTATTCAAAAGTAAAAGTATAGAATTTACTATGTAAAGATTCATAAACCTTAATGGTTATACAAGTAAAGATAAAACGGGTAGGGACAGAGAATGAAAAAAGTAGAATCTGAAAAATTAATTCATGGAAGATAAGAAGCAGGAGAAATAAGTGAGATAAAGGATCCTATGTGGAAACTAATAGTATTATATAAAAGCAACAAAAAAGAACAAATAAGAAAGAAAAGAGCAAAATTAAGAGGAAAAATTTTAAAAGAAGAAAAAAAAAAACCTGAAAAAAAAAATTGAATGAAAAAGAAAGTAAACAATTGAGGTCCACCCCTCTCAAAAAATCCTATATTTTTGAATGAGTAGTTTCTTTCCAGGATCTGTAGTCTTAGAATTCAGCAAGTCATGATTTTCTCTGCTTAGCTTTATGGTCTGTGGGTTTGTGAGGTTTCCCCTACCTCGCTCCAGAAGCTCCTATTTGTACATCCCCGATAATGTCAACCATCCAAGCAGAAATGTGTTCTTGCTCACACTGGAGAAAGCAGTAAGACCACTGGTCTCTAATGAAGGTCGGCAGCAGGTCAGGGGTTCAGGAGACTGCTGTGGCTAAGCCAATCAAGCCAGCCCTTTCAGATCCATCAACCTCGAAAATCATACTGGCCAGGCCTAGCTTCACATTACAGAAGCCAGGGGCCATACCCTTCCCAGCCTGAGTTTAAACTTCTCCAGGGTCTAGATCTAACCCACACCCTTTCCACAGCTGACTAATACTGGAGGGTAATACTGGCTGCCACTGTGGGAGGGTAACAGTGGAAACTCAAGTGGAGTTGTTTTGTGGCTCAGTCTTGATCAGCTCCTTCCCAAGGTGGCACCTGACTAAACACTCTCTGGCAATATGGCAGGCACTGCACTGGGATTCTTCTCCAACTCTAGCCTGTCATAAAAGAGTCACTTTCAGGGTAAAACCCCGCTGTTTTTGTAGATTACAATAGCCATGGGCTCCTCTTGAGGTTAGTGCTGCTGCCACGTCCTTTATTTCACTCTGTACCTGCCCATTCTCCCAGGGTGCTGGCCTTGTCCTGTTAGGTACATTTTAAATTTGCACAAGCACTGCCAGACTATTTTCTCCAAAGTCTGTTACAAATACTGCACCCCAAACAGTATATGAGAATACACTATCTCCCAGGCCTTTCAACAGCACCAGAAGTTGTCATTCCCCCTAATTTCTGCCAGTCTGACTAGTGTCTTTGTTGTTTTGATTAACAGTTCCTGAATTTTAAAGTGGTAAAGAAACTTTTCACATATTTATTGGTCGTTTGCGTTTCTTTTTCTTCTCTTTGAACTATAAATCTCTATCCTCTCCCAAGTGGATAGGCCATTAGATTACACTCTAAATGAGGAACCATGTTTCACTACTAACATATGGTGTGTTGGCTGACTACCCCAAGATACTATAAACAGAATCACTATATTATACGACCTCAGGGAATACTATTTAGGGGTGATCAACCCAGTAGAAGGTGGCAAGGTGGGAAGGGGGTAGTGTGACAGCATATGTTCAGTAGTGATATTGTGAGTAGGAGCTTCCAGGCTTTGATAGGCAAAGTCTACATTAGTAAGAACAGATTAAAAAAAAAAAAAAAATGTATTACCTAGCTAGGCATACACCTGTAATTCAGGCACTCTAGGAGGATGAGACAGGAGGATCAAAAGTTTGAGCACAGGCTGAGTCACTAGGCAAGCCCCTGTCTCAAAATTTAAAAAAAAAAAATTTAAGTGGATGTGGGTACTGGGGACGTACCTCAGTATGCAGGCCCTTGGGGTCAATCTCAAATACTACAATAGAATAGAATAAATGATAAAAAGAAAGAAGGGTCTGGGGAGGGGTAGAGAAACAGCTGGGAACAAAGTTCAGTACAAATGCCCTGAGTTCAATCAAAAATGCATTTCACAAACAAAAAAGAGATTAAAGCTTACCTTGACTTTGAACCAGATGAAGAATTTTTGAAGTGACATATCTAGCAGTATCTGATTCTGAAGATTCAGTACTGATCTTCTCCAGCTGAGCCAAGAGTCCCACAATCCGGGAATTATTGGTAACACTAAAGAGGATGTTACTTTACATTAGAGCATATTCCATATCAATTGTAAATTCAATATTGTAAAGATCACTACTGTTCTAAAAACGTTAAGGCACGTCACGTTTCCTTACTCTGTTTTGTAATATTGTTAAAATCTGATTTAAGAAACTACTTTCAGAAAACTACAAATCACAAATGTGCATCCAATCCCAGTTCAGTAATTTTACATCACACCCCGCAAGTTCACCTTTCCATTCTCGAAGACTTTTTACACTTTCTCTGCTCTCCTCATGACTCTGAAAACTCCTTCTTCCCATCCCATTCCACTCTCAACTAATGTCTGCTTCAGAAAATTGCTATAAAATCAAGTAAGAATGTACTCAATTTTTCCACCAGTGGACTGTTAAACCTATCTGATTCTCTACCTACATTATATTCTTTGTTTGCTGTTCTCTTTCATTATGCAAACATTTGTATACATAATCCTGTTACAGGTGTTGCCAACATGCTATAAACAAAATGAAAATTTCTGTCTCTCATAAAATGAACATTCTAATGATAAGGGTCTAGTTAAATAAACTGTAAATTATACAGGATGTCAATTGGTGAAAGGTGCTCCAGAGGAAAAGCAGGTTAGGGAAAATAAAAGTACAAGGAGGAGGGGCACAATTTTAGAGCAGTCTGGGAAGACCTCGTTGAAAGGGTATCATTTAAGGGCAGCCCTGATAGAAACAAGAAGTTAAAAATCAGCTGCGCAGGTTCCAGCAGAAAGAAGAAGTCACAACCACCAAGACCCCAGGGCAGGAGCCCACGTGCCGCATTCAAAGGACAAGGAGGTAGCCCTGTGGCTGGGGCCAACTTAAAGGAGATTAGTAGTCACAGATGACGTGAGAGCTGCATATGGACGTGGCAGAAAGCAGAATAATCTTGCAAAGAACTTTGGCTTTTACAGTGAATGGGCTGGAGAGTTTCTGAGCAAGAGATGTGTTCTCTCTCTTAGAAAAAAAATGCTCTCTTCTGCTTTTTATGCTGAAATTCAAAGAATGATTCCTCTATACATACATCTGACATTCCATTTATCATCTACCTGATTTATCATCTATGATTTATCATCTATCTCTCCCCTTCCACTGGATCATACTTATCAGCCCACAAATATGACCTAGAATCTTCTACCAGTTCTCTGGTATTCCTTGAGAACAGTTTCTGTACTTGCACTCTACAATCCCTCATATATTATTCACTTTTCAAACTGCTGCGGTGCCTTCTGCACCCTGAGGTCTCCCAAAAGCCTCACTTCTATCCTTATATTCAGCATCTCAGCGCCATCAAAGCCAGCCAGCCCTCTTTTTCTTCACTTTGTTCTTTGGGATTCAGTAACTCCATACTCTGCTGATTTTCTTCTAAGAACCACTTCTCTTAGATCCTCTGCCACACCTCTAGATGTTGAAGTCTTCCCCTGGCAACACTGCAGCAGCCTCCCTCTCCTTACTCTCTCTGCACCTTTGCTGTGGGTGATCTCATCTAATCCTTCAACTATAATTATCATATATGCTACTTAGCTCCTACTTTCAACTGTGGCCTCAATCCATGATAACTTACCTAACCTAATAAACCCAGTATAAAAGTTCTGTTTCCTTCTCCCTACCTGTTCCTTTTGCAATCTTAACCTTCCTAAACTTACACTGAAACCACCAAAAATGGTTGCTCAAAATAAAAATCTGCCTAGACTCCCTTTCCCACATGCCAACCCAGTACAAGTGTCGTCTCTAAAACATCTTGGACCCATTCACCTCTCTCTCTATTGTTATAATATTTCTATTACTGCCCAAGACCAAGCAGCCATCATCTCTCACAACTTTCTAGTCTGTCTCCCTTTTTGATGCCAAATAATTCAATTTAAAACAGTGATTTTCTCCCTTTTATTTTAAATAATAATGGAATTAGAGGGAGGTGCAAAATTACTACAGTGGTCCCTTATTGAACTTTTCCTCAGTTTCTCCAATGGCCACATTTTTATAACTATAGAATAGTATAAAAGCCAAGAAACAAGACACTGGTAGGTATATAGTTCTATGCCATTATATCACACGTGTAGATTTATGCAACCACACATTTCATCAAGTAGCTATCCAACTAAAAATCCTTCAGGAGCTTTTGTCTTAATCTACAGGCTTTTGAGCATTCTTTTTTTTCCCCCCTCACAATCTGTTTATTGAAAAAGCTTAAATGTATTACAGCTTCCCTCATTCTGGAATTCACATTACAAATCTTTGGTATCATTAATATGCTTCTGTAACCTATATATTTCCTGCAAAATGACAATGATCTAAACAGGCAAACACTGTCTGTCTGTTACCCCAGCCATCACTTCGCTACAGGTTGCAAAACAGTAATAACTTTACCACCCCATTCCCCCCTCGTTTGTTCACTGGAGTTATTCCTTGAAGTGAAGTATAAATAAACCCATAAAGATTCTATCCATATCCGGCTATCCATAAGTAGACTTAATCAAATAAAAGCAAAGATAATAATGACTGTGTGTACATGTGGTTTTCTGAGACACCATCTCACTCCAGAGCGCAGGCTCCGCTGGAACTCACTATCCTGCACCTCAGCTTCTCAAATGAAAGATGACAGGCGTGCACCCCCATAAGGGGCTGAGTTTTTAATGTACTTGTGTTTACCAGTTTTCAGAAGAATTGGTTCATTCCTTAAAATCCTCCACAGTGATAAATGAAATATAGTATTTTAATTTCTTATAACAACAAGAACTCACAAACATATTTGGTATGTATGATCATTACACTATTAACAGTTAACTGTCCTCTTTGCCAACTGGAGCCTCTTCAAGTTGTATCTTGAGTCTTTTAACAGAAATCTTTGATAACAAACTGGCTTTCTAGCCTGATAAATCACTTAAGGACCAGCAATTCTCAAAGTATGGTTTACAAAATTCTGAGGGCACCTGAGACATTCTCAGAAAATCTACTAGGTCAAAACCCATTTTCATAAAATACTACGCCACTATTTACCTTTGACTTTGAGTTGATGTTTGCACTGATGGTCCAAAGGTATGGTGTATAAAGAGCTGACAGCACAAATTAAGGTAGTGAGTGACAACAAAGTGTACTAGTGTTCACTATACTCCTTCACCACCACGCATTCACAGTTTCTGAAAATGCACCAATGAGTAGGTATCTTCTCTTAATATTCTTGTGTACACAAAACACTTCTAGTGTACAGTAATATGACAGCTTGGGAGACAACATTTACACAACTTGCAAGCTGAACAAGTCACATTTTTCACAGAACATCATTATTCAAAAAGCAAAGGATAAACCGATTACTCAGACATTATGGCAAACATTTTTGTGGAAATAATCAAAATGAGCTCATCATAACAAGGAAATTTGATAGATGCTGTCAATGGTAAAATTTGGCTTTTGAGCAAAAATTATAATTCTAAAAAACATCAATCCATCATCATGACCTCAATGGCTTCCCAATATTTAAAGAATGTTCAGGGTTAGGGATTTAGTTCAGTGGTATAGAGCTTCTCTAGCAAGCACAAAGCCCTGGGTTCTAGCCCAACACATACACACAAATACATATACATACACAAATACATGAACATATACATACTAATTAATCAATGATGATATTTAAATATAATGTTATTAATTTTAAAATGTATAATGCTTACAAGATCTTCATAACTCACTGAATCGTTTTTTCCAAATGACCAGTTCATGATGTTACAAATTCAAACATGGATAAAAGAACCATTCAACATTCAAGACAGATCAATGGATTTTAATGTAACACAGTATAAAAAGTTCACAATTATGGTTTCAGTTTCTACACTGAAAGTACAATATCAGAAAATATCCACTTAAATTTGAGTTTCAAACAGTATGGCTTTAATTCCAAGCTGTATTACTTTCAAACTATTTGTTCCTCATTTACAGCTACTATTCTTGCTTTAACACATTCACAAACAGCCATAATTCTTGTCTCACTTGCAGGCAGCTTGAACTGCTTGTGGTACATACATGACTGTCATGTGCATGACTATACCACCTCTACCAACCATCTGATGGGACAGTCATGCATGAACCACTGACAGTTCAAGTCAGTGGGAACATATTAATCCAATGTTTATTATTTTTCTCCAAATACTGAACTATAATTTCATTTTTCTCCAAATTAAAGAACAATAATCTGAAAAGGGTATTAAAGTACTACTTCCTTTACTAATTACATATCTAATTATTTTCTTCACATGCTTCAGTAAGAATACCACACACAAAACATGTACGTGTGTAAACATATATATGTATGTGTGTGTACAATTTGTTTGTATCATGACAGATTGAACTCAGAGGCAGATAATTTAGCTGATTTACATCAAGCCAGACATTAAAAACTCTAAAAATGTAACAAAATAATGCTACCCTTCTTACTAAATATTCTTTGTTTCAATAAAAAGTTATTATAATACAAATATGGTATACATTACAGAACAGGTTTATTACAGTGTTTTTTTCTTTTTTCTTTTATTTTAAAGAGAACAGTAAAAGAAATAATAGCAAAACATAAATAAAACAAAGCAAGGACATTAAAAATGATACAGGGTTTCAAACAAAATGATAGGGATTAACAGTGGTTGTTATATTACATACTGTTATCTTCAATGTAGTTGCTTAGATTACCAGATGTAAGAATGGAAGATTGATCAAGCCATTAAAGAGAATAAGAAAATAATACTTTAAAAGAACATTAGAGATAATATATAGTTTCACTAGATAGGATGGTAGGAATTCACCAATATAGTATTTTTAAATGAATCAACAAATATTTTAATTTCTTGGCTTTAATTTTATTACAGTAGCTTTCAATATGTATAAAAACTACACAAATACTTTTACAGTTATCATTAGTTTAAAAATATAAAGGCACTGTGAACCCAAAAAGTTAAGAACTACTATTCTAGGCTCTGCACATTTTATGCTCCTGAT